TCTTCCTCCCAAAGAGCAGCTGGTGGATTCGAACCGCGCAACTCTGGGATTGATCTCTTGCTGTTTTGATTTGTGTTATAGCCTTTGAAAGCCCACTGGAGGGTCAGCTCTGAGTCACTTCCGACTTGATGGCACATAACAACAACATGAGCTGCTGATTCCCAGCACTGCTGTCACTTTCCCAGATGGCATTCAGACACCTGCTCCCCGCGGCCCTGATCAGATTAAGTGGGGGGCCCCTTCTCCCTACTTCTCCACATCTCTGCTGCTACACTCACATCTTTGTGTATAACTTGTCAAACTGACAGGTCTATTCCCAGGGGCAGAGAGCAGGTCCAGATAGTATGGCTGGATTCCATTGAGGCTGGCACAGCTGCCCGTGGGGTGCTTGCTGTGAATTGGGGAGAGGAAGGGCAAAGGGCTGGGCCTATCCCCTACACCCCGGTTTACACCCTGGTCTAGTGCCCAACACTCCAGATGCTGTGACCAGCTAGCTGTTAATATTAACCTGGGTTGTACTGTTTGCTGAGGCTGTTACGTGGTGATTTTTCATGCATACAGCCAGCCTGTGAGGGTCATGCTGTTAGTCCCATTGTACAGATGAGAAGACCGAGGTGCAGATCATGAGCAGCTTGGCCCTTGGGGCCTCACACCTGCCTCTCACTTCCTGGCGTCCTGGGTGGGCTACCGTGTCAACCCTGTGCTGATGGGAGGAAAGAAAGATGTACAGACTAGAATCCACCCCCTGCCTTGTGGATTCTGCCTCTGAGCGACCCTGCAGGACAGCACAGTCAGCTGCTGAGATGACTGATGATCAGAACCCCTGTGGGGCGCTTCTCATCCGTCCTGGAGGGCTGCTCGGAGGTGGCATCTGCTCCATGGCAACCAGTGTAGGCTTTATTTTTTTAAATATTGTGGTCTTGGGTGTGAAAAGGCCTGTGAGGGGGTCCCAGGAACACAGCACCCAGCAGGCTCACACCACCACGAAGCTCTGGTTTCTGCCAGATCGAATTTGGCATCCTACCTTTGGTGACAGTGCTGCTGTTACTGTTCAATACTGTAACCAGCCCCCAGAGTTGACCTTCTGGTGGGTTTTCAGACACAGTTAATCACATGGGAGGAGGTGATTGCCCATCATTCTCCTGCAGAGCAGCTGGTGGAGTCAAACCTCCGGCCTTTGGGATTGCAGAGCAGCTTCTTACCACTAGGTCACCAGAGCACCCTTTTTTAGTAAATGTGGTCAAGTTGGCTCCGACTCCTAGCACCCCCCCCCCCCCACAGAATGAGCCCTGTCTGGTCCTGCACCATGTCCCCACTTATGCCCATCGGCTGTTTGCCCGCTCTTATCCCACTTCCTGCAGGAAGTGCAGGTGGGTAGGGATGGGCAGTCCAGGTGGCTGAGTTGGGCTGGGTGTTGAACGGTGGGCACTGCTTTGACTATTCAAATGCCCTAGGGGCAAAGAGGAGGGTGGGCAGAGGTGTGGCCATTGTCAAACTGGGCTACTTTGTGTATTCAAAGTGTTTAACGGTAAAGGTTTGTCACTGAGGCCGGAGAGGCTCCTCCCAGCTCCTGCAGTCCATTTAAACCCCTGCTTCTGCCTGGTGACGCAAGTGGCTGCTTCTAGAACCTTCTCCAGGGGCTCACTCTGACGGGCACAAGGCAGGATTTTGGCTTGTGAAACCCATGGCCTATTGACGACACCCTCATCAGTTCATCAGATTGAGTGTCCTCCTGTCCTCCCCTGCAGCCTCCCCGGGGTGCCTGACCATGACGGCCGCGGTCAGTGTGGACGGTCTGCCCGAGTACGAGAAGAGCCAGATCAAGAGGGCGCTGGAGCTGGGGACGGTCATGACCGTGTTCAGCTTCCGCAAGTCCACGCCTGAGCGCAGGACCGTCCAGGTGATCATGGAGACGCAGCAGGTGGCTTGGAGCAAGACGGCCGACAAGATCGAGGGCTTCTGTGAGTACCGGGGGCGGCCTGAGCGGCCCCTGTCACTGCGCTTGTCACTGCTTAAAGCATCCCATTAGCAGGCCTCCCAGAGAGAGGTGAGACTCAGGGGGTCCACCTGGCTGACTCCCGCTTGCTGACTTGTCTGTCCTCCAAAGACAAGCTGGCCTTGGGATGCCCTCCTGGGCTCACAGACCCCCAATGTCTGCCTTGTTTTACACAAACCATGGCCGTGACCCTCTTTGCTTCATTCTGAATAGTGAGAACAGTTCTCCCAGTTCTCTGAGCTTTTAAACGTGCTCTGGTCCTGGTGATGGTATCTTTCTCCACGATCCCTTTAGACTGGACAGCTAGTTTGTTGAGTCCCTAAAAGCCCTAAGCCTGCTTTTGATAAAGGGAGCCAGAGTCTTAAAGGGAGCTCTGGTGGTCTAGTGGCAAGAAGCTGCACTGCAGTCCCGAAGGCGCGTGGTTCAAATCCACCAGATGCGCTACTGGAGAAGGAGGGACAATCTCCTCCTGTGCCAGTCGGATCTGATTTGATGGTGCACAACGGGAAAACGAAACAAAGAACCACTGCAATAGAGACATAAAGTTAACATACACTGAAGTGGAGCCAGGGTCTCGAATGATGATGGATTGTAGATGTGGTCATACTTGGTGTGTTGTTTTCTTACCGAGAAATGGCAGCATATGTTGGAAGTGGGGGTGGGCAAATAACCCCTCACCCAGATCCTAATAAACGTGCATGTCCCAGCTCTGTGTTTCTCGTCTGTAGAAGCGTTGTGTACTGTGCGGAGTGGGCTTTGTGCAGATGGGAGCTCCTGCTTAAACGTCTGCATCTTGACTGATTTGGTTTCACTTCATACTTATCTTGAAGCTGGTTGCTTTTTGTCACTTAGCGACCTGCGTCATCTTTTCAGGGCCCCCCCGTGTCCCCTCAGATGGCCCCTGCTGTTAGGTACTGTCCAGTCGGCTCTGATTTGTAGTAGCCCACGCACAAGAGAAATCAGCTCTGGTGGCCTCGTGGTAAGAAGCTGTGCTGCAGTCTCAAAGGCGCATGGTTTGAATCCACCTGCCGCTCTACAGGAGACGGATGGGCAGTCTCCTCCTGTGGGATTAACTGCCTTTAAAAATCTGCTGGAGGGCCAGCTCGGAGTTGAGCAGGGTGAAGCCCTGCCGGACTCTGCGCTGTCCTTCAGTCTCTGCTGAGCTCAGGCCACTGTCACAGCCGTGGTGCCATCTCTCTGAGGGTCTTCCACCTCTTCATTGACCCTCTGCTCTTCCAACATGATGTCCTTCTCCGGAGACCGGAACTTCCTCCTAGCATGCTCAGGGCGCGTGGAACAGTCTCACCTCCTCTCACTTTTGGGGAGCCCTTCTGGCTGCACCCCTCCCAGGGCACAGTGCTTGTTCCCTTGGCAGCCCCTGGTCGTGGGCATTTAGGGTGCTTTCATTTTTCCTATTAGGGTCATTGCTGTAAGGGACCACCCTTTTTTTTCCCCCCTAGGTTTTTTTTTGGTTTCTTTTTTCAAAAATTAATTTTAATGAACGTTTACAGAGACTTTGGATTTCCATTCATTCATTGTTGCACTTTTCTTCCTGCCCCCCACCCAATTTGCTCTTCTCTTTGAAAAGTAAAAGAAATTTTTTTTATCGTTATACAGTCCTTCCCCCCAAGTCCACTCCACTATGCAGCTTTTGTTTTGAAAAGTAAAAGAAAAATTCTTTCATTGTTCTACAGTCCCTCCCCCCAAGTCCACTGCACTGTGCAGCCTTCGTTCTGGACTCCTGTCATGACAATAATACCTGATCGCATATCCCTTTTAAACAGTTCTCTCCCTCATCTGTTTCAATGCAGTATATACATCATTTCTCTTTCTCCTCTGTCTTCCCTCAACCCTGATGTCAGTCCCATTCTACAACAGTGGCACTATGCAGTATTTGACTTTTTATGACTGAGATATTTCACTCAGCATAATGTCCTCCAGGGTCACCGATTTTGAATAATTTTTCATGAGTTCCTTTTTTCAGTGCAGCGTAGTATTTCATTGTGTGACTATACCACAGCTTCTCTATCAGTTCGTTTGTTGATGGGCACTTAGGTTGTTTCCAACTCCTTGCTATTGTGAAGAAAGCCGCAGTAAACATGGGTGTGCATATATCTGCTTGGATGTCAGTTATGGTCTCTTCTGGGTATATTCCCAGTAGTAGAATTGCTGGGTCAAATAGTATCTCTATTTGCAACTTTTTGAGAGAGCGCCATACCGCCTTCCACAACGGTTGCACCATTTTACACTCCCACCAACAGTGAATAAGGGTTCCAGTTTCTCCACAACCTCGCCAGCATTTGTTGTTTGCTGTTCTTATTTTCATTTTTTTTTTACACACACAGACAGATCTAAGTGCACTGCTGTCAAGTCTATTCCAGTTTCTAGTGACCCTGTGGGTCCACGTCCCATTTCCCACACTGCGCATCTCTAGGGAAGCTGACTGTCCTGTTTTTCTCCTGTGGTGTAGTTGGTGGGTTCAAACCACTTACCTTTTGGGTATCAGCTCAGTGCTTAGCCTACAGCTCCAACAGGGGTTCCCTCCTATGTGTAGGGGTATTTCCAAAGCACAACATTCTAGAAGGAGTGTCTCTAACTCAGCCCTTCTGTGAATGTGCACCACCCACTAACATTTTCAATGTACGTTTTCTTGGGAAATTATCGTCCGGGTTGTAGTGTGTGCTGCCCCGTAAACTGCGTGACCCTGAAGACACAGACATCATCCCACCAATTCTATCATCAGAGTCCTCTTGGGACGAACAGTGTGTCAACTAAAGTGTCCTCAGAACCCATATTATCACAAAATAATACTTTCCCTCAATTCCATGGTGCCTTCCAGTCCTGAAAACACTCAGCAGAGATTGAACTCCTCACCAACAAGTCAGGACACACTCATACTTGACCTTCCTGTGGGTTTTCAGAGGCTTTAAAATACACAGGAGGTTGCCCATCTTCCTCCCAAAGAGCAGCTGGTGGATTCGAACCACTTGCCTTTGGGTCGATAGTGCAACTCTCTACCTGCTTGGCTACCAGAGCTCCAAGGATTCAAAGTAGAAAATAAAAAGGTTAAAGAGGAGGAAGGGTACTTGATCTTTAGAAGATGGTCTGTTCTGACAGCAGCCCACAACAGAGCCCATCGCTCTCTAGGTGGCAGCCCAGATGGTCTGAGGGTGTCCGCCCTCTCCCTGGTCCATCCGTCCTGATCTGAGGTGGTGAATTTAGCCCGCAGTAGCTTGAAAGCCCATTCTTCTTTCCTTGTTTTTGCCATGGTTAACACGAAATAGCTGTCCTAAGATTTCTCTTGGCCCTCGTACGAGGCTGACCTCAGATGGCCTGGAGCCAGCAGCTTTGCTTTGGAAATGCCCCTGTGTGTGGGCAGCCTTTCTCCCTCCCAACGCCGTTCTGTGTACCTTGGCTGAGCTCTGCTCCGTGGTGGCCCAGAACCTGCTACAGGTGAGTCCTAGTGGAGGCGGGCTGGGGGCCCGCAGGTGGTACAGCAGGTGCTGATGGTAAATGCAGGTGTGTCCAGCCAGGGTGGGCTGTGGCTTCCTGTCCCTTCTTGGCCGGTGGGTGTCATGCCTGGCTGGGCATCAGAAACGCCTGGGTTTCTTTTAATTATTATTAAATTTTATTAGTTTTAATGAACATTTACAGAGATTTTGGGTTTTCATTAATTCATTGTTGCACTGTTTTCTCTACCCTCCTCCTTAGTTCGTTCTTCTTACCCCCCCCCAAATGTCTGTTTTAATTGTCCAATTGCCACAGTGTTTGTCTAAGCCAGTTCTGATTATTCTCCTTTGTCAGTGTGTCTCTTGCCATTCCCTATCACTCCTCCCTGAGAGAGACTTCACCCTGATTCATAAGGAAAAGGGGATGGCATATTCTCTTAGCTACTTCCTGCTGAAAAGGGCGCTGTGGGTTTCAGGGTGAAGATCTTCTCTCACTACTCTAAAGGGCCCCTTTGGCAGTAGGAAACACATAGACCATTATGGAGATTGATTTTGGAATTTAGATGCACTGTTATCGATTGTGCTTAGCCGTACATGTTCATATCCTTGAAGATGTATCATGGAAGTGTTGTAGCCTAGAAGACACAAATTTAACTAACAAGTTAAAAGTACATGAGTCAAAAATTAAAAAGCAATAATATTCCAAGTAGAGGTTTTAATAGTGGCACAAATGAAGTTACAGAGGGAAGGTGGTTCTTACAATAAAAGGCCTATAGACTAGCACTTTGTCTATTATAGTGTAGAGGTTAGGAACCACAAGGTGTAGAGGCTCAGCTATGTCATTTATGGTTCTTAAGTATGCCTGGGGGTTTTTAAAGGTCCAGGTGTCTGGATCCTCTTCTGATTGAGAGTCTCCAGGTGGGCTGACGCGCAGTATTTCCCTGAGCCCCCAGGTGATCTTGCTAACTCAGGTTTGGGGAACACTGCTCTAGACACAGCTCTTGGCACGTGCCCTCCCCTCCCTCGTGGGCTGAGCGTTGCAGCAGCACACCTTCCAGGCCCTGGAGACGGAGCTGTAGTGGGAGCAAATCCTTGCAGAGGCCGTTGTGTTTTATCTGTGTGCTAGTGTATTGTTGTCTGTGTACTGGTCGGGTGGGCTTTGCCTTGTGACCTTGAGCAAACCCCCCAGCATTCGGGGCCCTGTTTTCCTTATCTGTAGAATCCAGTGGCTGCCCCACTGTGTTAAGGTTGGGAATGAGTCAGCTGGGAAAGGAATTATGCTCAGCACTCCACCTGCGGGAACTGTATCACCGTCATCGTCAGTACCATTACCACCACCACCATTGTTCCCAGTGAGTGGGGGGTCTGTGTGTCCAGGGCTATAAAGTCTGACTTAAATTTTTTTTTAAGTTTGTACACATTGTTTTTCACACTGGATCTGTCCCTTTTCTTTTACCCATCCCTCCCTCCACTCAGGAAATTGTGTGACCCTATGATGAAGTCCCCACCCTCCCCC